AGGTCACAGGCAGGGAGCTGGGTGTGAAGGCACCGTCCTTGTGTCTGAGCTAAGATGACTGACACCTCTTCTATCAGGAAATATTGTCTCTGTTGAAATCTGCCCACTTCTGCCCACTGCCTGGGCATTGGCCAATGGCTGAATAATTTGTACCTTCTGCCCCAGCTGCTCTTTGAGGGCTGGACGCTTGACTCTACTCAGATTCGATGGCGACTCTAACTCAGTGAGGCAGCAAATCCCAGCCTGGAGCACCAGGCAGAGCCAGTGCGAGCGGGCTTGTGTCGAGATCCTGCCCCTCTGCTTTTGTCTGTGCTCAGAGAATCAATGGTCTTTGAGGGGGCTGCCCACAGCAGCCAGCTGTCAAAAGCCTGTGTTGCTTTCTTAGCTCAAGAGGCGGAAATGAGCTCGAAAAGAGGGTGGGTGGACAGTTTTCTACCAAAATGTTTTCTTGGGGGTTTCACTCAAATGACTTTTTTTTTTTTGCAGAAAGCAGCCACGTTCCTGGAAAAGTTTGGAATGTTTGTCCCCCAACTAAACCGCCCCCCTCTGCCTCCGAAAAGGAAAGGCTTTGGTCAAAAGATTTTGTGGGGAGGTTGCACAAGAAGCGGAAAGTTTCCACTGAAAATGTGGATGAAACCGTAGGGGGGAAAATCATTTCCATCAAAATTTTCCAAGGAAAAACAAACAGCATTCCCCAGCCGTTGAAATCAAACTTTTCTGGCTCGGTTCAACTGCACGGTCCAAGGGGTTGGAAATTGGTGATTGTAATATTCATTATTTGCATAAGGACTTTGGGGGCAGTTTTTTCATTATATGTGTGGCTAGGCTTGCGCTTCCTTCACTGCAGCAAGCACCTTAAAAATAGCAGCGTGGATGTTGTCTCAGGCTAGCCGTTCAAGTCCAGGCCTGTTGTCTGCCTTCCCCCCATAGTCTGAGCTGAGGGGACTAGCCCAAGTCCCAGCCACCCTGCCATATTTTGCATGCTAGCTCCAGTGAAAGGAGCATGAGTCTTTGCACAAGCGGCCCTAAGTGGGAGCAGAGACTGGCAATGACCTACTCTCCTGCACATGCCCCCAGCTCTCCTTCAAATCTCCCGGCTCATTGACTAGAAGCTGGCGAAAAAGGTCACCCCTCCCTCCCCCATCAGTGAAGTTTTTCTTTCTACTGCAGAAGTCCTTTCCAGCCCACCCACTGCTCTGAGTGTGATGCTCCACCCCGGTGACCTACAGTGAGGTTTAGAACCTAGCATGAAAACAGCTGGCGAATGTGGCTGTGAAAAGTGATTAATAGTTTCATGTATTTAAAGGTCATTAGAGCGTCTTGTCTAACATCTGTAACGCAGGCCAGAGAATCGCCATAGTGCAGATGTCGAGTCCACAGCTGCTATTTGAGTCAGAGCAGGGGTTCTCAAACTGGGGGTCGGGCCTCCTCAGGGGGGTCATGAGCTGTCAGCCTCCCCCCGAAACCCAGCATTTATACTAGTGTGAATTATAAAAAGAAGTGTTTTAATTTATAAAGCAGGTCGCACTCAGAGGCTTGCTGTGTGAAAGGGGTCCCCAGTATAAAACTTCGAGTACCAAGGTGCTAGAGTGTATCTTTTAGAACGTTTAATGATACTTGACAATAAAATATCAGAGTTGGAAGGGACCTCAGGAGGTCATCTAGTCCAACCCCCTGCTCAAAGCAGGGCCAATCCCCAAATTTTGCCCCAGATCCCTAAATGGCCCCCTCAAGGATTGAACTCACAACCCTGCGTTGAGGAGACCAATGCTTTCAAACCACAGAACTATCCTTACTTCGCACCGTGCTGAATAGATGTATCACACAAGGACAGGACTTGTCAAAAGTGAAAGTGTTAAACATTTTGGGGTTGAAAAAAAAGGCCTTTTTGAAACCAGATCTTCTCACCCATACGTGTATTTTGAGGGTTTTTTTGGAAAACAAAATATTTAGTTACTAATCATTTTTTTCTTCCCCCCCTTGTTTTTCCCCCCTCCCCTTTTTTTCCAGTGGCAAAAGGAAAAAGATCAGGGGTAGGGGTAGAAAGAAGAAAAAATCCACACAATCCCCCCACCCCCAAAAAAATGAAAAAAAAATTGAAAATGAAAAAGTTCTAAAAAATTTCTGGTGAAAACTTCAACGCACACGAAAATTTGAATAAATGAAACATTGAAAAACCTTCCAAATGAAGCAGGGTCCATCGATTCGAAGGCCAAATGGCACCACTGTGATCCTCGAGTCCAGGGGCTGTCAATTATTTTAGGTCAACAACCCAATTTCTTGGTCAAGGTCTAGTCAAGGTCCAGACCCCAGAGAAAATAATTTAAAAACGCCCCAATAATGATAATAAATAAGTAAAAAAAAAAAAAAAGATTTCGGGGGTCCGTTCAAAAGCATCTGGCGGTCTGGATTTGGCCCGCGGTCCGCTTATTGACTATCCCTGACCTCCAACCTATGTAACACAAGCCATAGACCTCCCCGGAGTTAATTCCTCTTTGAACTACAGCCGGGCTTTCAGAAAAAGGACCAGCCTCGATTCAAGAACTTGGAAGCTTTCGTCCATTTTTCACCTAGCTGTACGCCCTTAGCATGCAATCCGATCCTTGCCCCCACTGCATTGTGGGTCATTTTTGCTCAGGATTGTGGGAGAAATCCCTCCGACCTGGGGAATTGTGGGAAGAGGGAATAATCCCCACGGCTCCATGGAATTTATTCCAGGATTTATTATTATGTTACCATAGCACCAACATGGTCCCATTGCTGCTCTACGTACAAATGCTAAGTGACCTTCT